TAAAGCCTTGGGGCCTCATTAAAGAACCCCAATCTAACATCTGATTTCCGGAGGAGGGAAAGTTCTCTTTGGCACATTTAACCTTCAGGAGTCCTGAGCCCTTCTCTATGTCTCTATCGTGTATATTTATTTCATCATGACAAGCTGTCCCACTGGCAAATACTAGTGTGTGGGCCCAGAAAGCAAGAAGACTCACGTCCCCATACCACATGGTATGGTTCACAAAGGACTCTCCTTCCCCTGCCCCACCCCCACCCCATGGCCTAGGTAGAACAAGTATTCTCATCTCCATTTTACAACTGAAGAAACAGGGTCATGGAGGTGAAGTCAAAAGATTCTGCCTAGAGCTGGAAGGGATCTTGGAGGTCACCTAATCCAACTCCCTCATTTTACAATTGGAAAAACTCAGTCCCAGAGAAGTTCATTGGCTTGCCAAGGTCAAGGTCACAAACATAACATCTAACTGAGCTAGGATTTGAACTCTAAGCTGAGGACTCATTCCTCTTTGCTACAGTCAACTTTCATATAATGCTCCAAAGTTTGTAAAGTGCCCAATGCACATTATTTCATTTGAGCCTATAAAATCTTGTGAGATAAGTTTTACAGTGTATTGTTATCCATTTTATAAATGAGAAAACTCAGAAGTAACATGGCCTGCCCATTGGTCACATAGCTAGTAAGCAGCAGTTAGATTTTGAACACAGGTGTGTTCAAACTCAAATATTGTCTCATGATGTAGACACATGTAGATACATGATATGATTGGAGGCACTCCTCTTTCTCTATGACCCATGACATCTTTCTCTCTCATACACATCCCCATACAACCCCTCACCCCCAAAATAGGCCAAACAAAGTGGAAAAGCAGGGTTGAAAGGAACCTCCGAGGCTATACATGAACAAAAATTCCCTCTACAGCCCACCCAACAAGTGGTCATACAGCTTCTGCTTGAAGGCCTGCAGTGAAGGGGAACCCACTCATCCTTGAGACAGCCCATTCCACTTCAGGTCAGTTCTAATTGTCAGAAAGGCTTTCCTGACATCAAGCCTAAATGCATTTCTTTGCAATTTACCTCCGATGCTCCTAGTTCTACCAAACAGAAGAAATGTAAACTCTCTTCCCCAACCACCCTTTGAAAATGTGAAGACATTTACAAACGACTCTGTGTTTTCATTTCTACAGTCTAAATATCTCCAGTTCATTTAACCAGTCCTCAAAAGGCATGATCTCAAGTCCCTTCCCCTAGCCTGGTTGCCCTCCTCTGAACCTCCTTCACTTCTGCTTTCCCTTAGTAGACATGATGCTATTAAGCATTTTGAAAAGGTCGCTACCTTTGGATGCGGTCAGGTTTGGCGGATTCAGGGATCACTCAGACCGGCTAGACCTGGGTCCAGCGAACCCTGGAGATGGGCTCTGCCTGGTAGCTTCCAGCTGGGATACTCCAGAGGAGCTGGGATTCCAGCTGCTTCACGGAATCCCAACTCTGGGCTTCAGGTTTTAATGTGGTATGATGTAGTTCAGACATTTCCTTCCTAATCTTCAGTGCCCAAAACTGAACCCAAGATTCTGGATGTGGTCTCACTAGGACAAAGTATGGTGGGACTACAGCCTCTCTTTTCCTGGAAGCCATGCGTTTCCTAATATATCCCAAATTCACATTAGGTTTTTTTTTTTTTGCTTGCTACGTCACACTGCTAACTTGTAGTGAATTTCTAGTACAATAATCACCCCTCTTAATTTTTTAAGATTTTCTCTCTAGTCATGCCTTCTCCCTCACCTTGTATTTATAATATTGATATGAGCCCAAGTATAAGATTTTATACTTAGTCCTATTAAAGTTTATGTTATTCCACTCATTTTTCTGGCTAATAGAGATATTTGTGGAGCTTGGCTGTTATCCACTCATTAGCAATCCACCACTTTGTGTGACTGGCACATTTGATAATCATGCCTTTCTCCAAGTCATTGATAAGAAGGTTAAATGGCCCAGGGGCCAGGCACAGATCCCCCAGGTACTCCATTGGAGATATCCTTCCAACGTGAAACCATTAAGAAATATTCATGGATCTTGTCATTCATCCATCTTATTGTATCATCTAGCCCATATCACTTCATCTCACACATAAGAATAGCATGAAACATTTTGTCAAACACTTTGCCATACTCCAAGAAAATGGTATCTATGGTATCCCCCAGATTGACAACCCTGGCAAAAAAAGGAAATGAGTTTATTCTCTTCTTGGCAAGACCAGCTGGTTCCTTGAGATGACCTTTTTCTTTCCAGGTTTTCACTAGCCATTCCTTTCATAATCCATTCTAGAATATGGCCAGAATCTGAAGTCAAGCTCTCTGGCCTATAGTTCACATATTCTGCCTCCTTCCCCTTTTTGCCCTTCTCCAATCCCACGGCACCTCTTCTATTCTCCATCATCTTTCTAATGTCTCTGACAGTGGGTCCACAGTTGATTCTGCCAATTCTTCCTATTCCCTAGCATGAAGTTCATCAGGCTTGGCTTGAATTCATCAAAGGCATATAAAGGCTCTCTTACTAGCTTTCCTAATAATTCTGCATATCAATTCTCTATTAGTCATTCTCATTCAGTCCAGTAAAAAGATTATTCCCCTCACCATAGAACATGGGAACAAAGCTCTGTCATCTTCCTTTTATCTGTTGTCATCACATCCACCTTGAGTACTACTCCAAATCCTTCTTTGATCTTTCTTTTTCCTAATAATGGATCCTAATTTGGGAATTGAAAGGGATCTTGGACCATCTAGTCCAGCCCCTGTGTTTTATAGATGAAGAAACTCAGGCCTAGAGAAGTTAGGTAACTTGCCCAAGGCCAGCATTTAAGTGAAAGAAAGAGGGGAAAAACCATGTGATCTTCACTTCTCTCACCAGTCTCCATCCATTCTGAGCTTTAGCACTCCCCATACTACTCTGAAGGTAGGTTGTCAAGCTTCTGTAGTCATCCTTCCTTGTTTGCCCTAGGTTCCATCTTCTGCATTATCTTTCAGATTTATGTTGGTCAATGAGTTTCCTGTGTGTCCACACAGGTTTCTCTTAGATTTCTCCCATTTTTCTTTCTCATTGGAATTATTCCTCTTTATAACTTCAGAATTTGATTTTTTGAGTTTCCCACCAGTTCTAGGTTGGTTTTTCCTGTAGAAAGTTATTTTATTGTATCCTATCTATCCTTCCTCTTCACCCTTTGAATTCTAGACTCCTAACATCTGAGATGCTTATAAGACCATGCCTAGCTTTCTTCTCTTCTATAACAAATTCTGAGATGAAGGGATCACTGTCTCACAAGATTCATTTATGCCCAGCAACCAGGTCTTTCTGGCTGGTGTTGTTGTTATGCAGTCATGTCCGACTCTTCATGACCCCATTTGGGTTTTCTTGGCAATGGTTTGCCATTTCCTTCTCTAGCTCATTTTACAGATGAGGAAACCGAAGAAAATAGGGTTAAGTGACTTGTCCAAGGTCACACAGCTAGTAAGTGCTATGTGTCTATGGTCAGATTTGAACTCATGAAGAGGAGTCTTCCTGACTCCAAGCCCAGTGCTCTATCCACTGAGCCACCTAGCTGCCCACCTTGCTGGTAAGAAATAGAAATAGAGGGGGGCAGCTAGGTGGCACGGTGGATGGAGCACCAGCCCTGGATTCAGGAGGACCTGAGTTCAAATCTGGCCTCAGACACATAACACTTACTAGCTGTGTGACCCTGGGCAAGTCATTTAACCCCATTGCCTAGCCCCCCCCAAAAAAGAAATAAATATCGAATAGCAATCCCCCTCGCTTGCTCCTGCAACTTTTGATGGATGAAATTGTAATTGAAACAAGTAAAGAAATTATTAACTTCTTCAATTGTGACAGAGGGAAAGCACCAGCAGATGTCCTCCAATTTCTGAAGGATGAAATTATGATTGAGACAAGTGAAGAAATTATTAGCTTCTTCCATTAGGACAGACAGAAAGCACCTGCAGATATCTAGATAGATGAAGCCCACCCCCACCCTCACCTCGCCCACTACCATTGTACCAGGCTTCTATGCCAGACTTGTGGCTAGTTTCAGAAACTCTTCTATCTCTACTTTGGGTCCAGGTGGTGTTTAGGAGACTCCAGTGACAACGTTGCTTCTCTCTTTGCCCCTACTGATTCTCACGCAAATGCCCTCCACCATGCTTCCACCTTCTGGTTCATGGACTTCACAAATAAATAAAGCTGTTTTCTACCAGCACCACCTTTTTACCTCTCCTTTTTCCTTTTGGATTAGGCCTATTCATCCAGAGTCATATTCTAGTCATGAGTCTCATTGCACCAAGTTGCAGGATTACCTTTAAGAGCAAATTTACTTCCTTGTGCTCTCACATTTACATCGCTTTTATCATCACCCTTGATTTGTGCGTTTGTCACACTGCCAGTTACAACTGACTTGCTCAACTAGCTTTTCTGTACTAAAAGAAGCTATCTGGAGGCCAGGTGGCTCATGAAGAAATGACAGTGTTGTAAACGAAAACTTTATCCCCGGCGCTAGTTGGAGCCTCAGAGAAAGCATTTGCACAGTGACTCTGGAGGGATGGATTAGGTGTGGTTGTTTTTGCTTCTTTTCTAAGGGACAGTGAGCCCTCTTGAGACCATGAGGGCAACCCCAAGAGAACCTTGGAATAAGTTCTGCCCAACTTCCACTTAGCCTAATTCTAGCTTTACAGATTACAGGCTGCACTCAGACCCCAGAGGGTGTGCGACTATCAAGGTCACAGGCTGAATCCTATAAAAATACAGGCCTAAGAACTGGCTTTTGGGAAAGGTCCTTTCTATGGGGGAGGCTTGGGCCCTGCTCTGCATGGAGGGCCCTAGTGGAGAGTGGCAGGAGGGAACCGCTTGTATACCAGGTTCCAGCTCCCCATCAGGGTAAGGGCTTTGGTGCCTCACAGAGCTCCACCTCAGGCAGTGATGGAGCAAGACAAGAAGGGATCTGGGGAGTGACGGGATATGAGCCGAGCTGCCTGGGGAAGAGCTGAGAAGGAAACCCAGGAGCTGCAGTCACCAAGGAACTCTGCAGGGAAAACAGCACAGCAGACACGGTGCCAGAACCCCAAGCTGGGCTCACTCCTCCGGTGTCCCTGAAGCAATGACCCGTGATCTCTGTAACACTCCAGATGCCAGCAGGGCTCACCGGAGGACTGAAAACTACCAAGCACACACAGGAAGAGCCCATCACCATGCTCTGCTCACTCTCAGTCTCCTCCATATCCTACTCTGTCCGGGCCTCATGCCAACTGCCTGCCCCCAGTGCCACTCACCACCTCTCTACTGAAGGGAATGTGATGACTGGGGCTGTCACCCCCTTACATGCCTGGCTTGTCCAACCAAAGATGACCTTTTGCCAGCCTCCAGGAGAGCCCCCATGCCAACATTTATTACTTAGGAAGGGCAAAGGAAAATAAGCAGGTATGCTTTGAGTGAGAGGGTAGTGAGCACACTTTGGGGCTGAGCCAATTGCCCCCCTCCTGTGCCCTTCTTTGCCATGGTGAGGTCCTTCAAGGCAGCACCAGTCTAAATGGGCAGAATCTGGGCCCCTTGTAGGAGGTCTGGAGTAGCGAGCTGTGTCCAATTCATTCATGAGACCTTTGTGGGGTAGAGGGGCAATAGTGAGGGATGGTCATACTGCCAGACGTGAAGTTTGACAGTAAAGTTTTGTATGCTAGTCAATTTCACAGATTCATAGGAAGGAAAATTTGCCCTATCTACCCCTCGACAGAGACCATTCACTACAAGGGAAGGCCCCTAGCATCATAGATTCACAAGAATGCACTCTTCAAGTTGGGAGGGTCCTGTGGGTCATCTAGTCCACTCTCGTCCCTCCCCCTGTCCAGTTCAGGAATCTCTCCTATCACATTGGTGGTGGTCACTCATTGTCCACTTGACCACTTCCAGTGACAGAGCGACCGCTACCTCCTAATGCAGCGAGTTGCAGTTTTTAGGCAGTCCTTTCTCAGCTGAGCTAAAATTCATCTCTCTAAACTATCCCTTCTAGTTCTGCCCTAAGGGGCCAAGCAGGAAAACTGAAAAAATAAAAAAAGAGCAGTTTTGCAGGTGGGACCTAAGAGAACCATCCCTCACATCTAGTCAAGGAGGAAAATAAGACACACTTTCCCAAAGTCACAAGAAAAAGGGACATCTTAATTCCTATGCCTTTTTAGAAGCAAGACTTCCAAGGCTACAGCAGCTGTGACCCTAACCTGATTTTTTTCCTCCCTGAGATTCAAGACCCAATTTTTCCTGAATGCCCTGGGCATTCTCTTTGCCCTGGAGGAGGCTAACAGAGACCCCACCTTCCTGCCAAATGAAACAGTGGGACTCCGGCTCTCTGACTCTTGTGTCTCTGGTGCCAAGGCCCTGGGGAGCACTCTCGCCGTCCTATCTGGACAGCTCCTCCCTATACCCAACTTTGATTGCCACCCCGAGCGCCAACTCCTGGGAATCATAGGGGGAGATAACTTCCCCAGAGTCAGAACCCATGGCTGAGCTGCTCTCTGTCTACAAAGTCCCTCAGGTGAGTAATTTGCCCAAAGCAGAGAAACAAGAGACTCCACCTCAGTTATCAGCATTCTTCTTCCTGTGGAAATGTACAGCTAGGTTCTTTCTCCCTATAATGTGTGCTCATTGAGGCATTTATGATGGATTTGCTTAAACAATAATCACTAGAATTTCTATACCAACTTAAGGGATCTTCATGCAGGATAAAACATTGATTAAAAAGAGCATAGTTTCCCAGAATGTTCCTGGTCTGTGGCAAAAAGGCTAAGAAAGAGGCCCAGAAGTTTTGCAGTCAGGCAACCAAGAGTTACATTAATGGCCAAAACCTTAGTACCCTGAGCCAATTAAATCTCAAGGATAGTTTTAGTACCCCTTAAGGAAAAACTAGCCTGTCATGGGGCTTTGGGAAGAAGGGTTTGAAATAAGGTAGTGTTAGGAGCTTACCATCATCCATACTCCTACAGGTATGCCCAGCCTTGACCAGCATAAGCTCCAAAAGTAAGAGTCAGTCTCTCTGATGGCATAAACCTAAGTGTCCATGATGGTTTTTTTCTACCAAGATCTTTAGAAAGTTTATGCCAAAGGCACAAGCTCTAAAGCATTTTTAAGAGGAGAGATGATCAGGATGTTACAAGGTTACAAGGCAACTCATTGTAAGATCACTTTTGCCAACCACGAAAACACAAAAAGTATTCAAAAGACTCAGTGTTTGTCTGCAATGTACAACTTATGTGACCTTGAGGCAGCTGGTGGCACAGTGGATAAAGCATTGGGCCTGGAGTCAGGAAGATCTGAATACAAACCTGCCCTCAGACACTCACTAGCTGGGTGGCCCTCTGCAAGTCATTTAACTTCTCTCCACCTCAGTTTCCTTGATTGTAAAATAGGGAGAAGAGTAGTACCTAACAGGGTTGTTGTGAGGCTCAAATGAGATAATTTTTGGAAAAAAGTGCTTAGCACAATTCTTGGCACAAAGTAGTCACTATATAAATGCTTATGCCCTTTCCTTACCCTTAGTGAGGTCACAATATTTCTAGGTCTCACTTCTTCATCTGCAAAATGGAGCAATTGGACATTTAGTTTAAGGTCCCTTCTAACTCTAAATCTCTGATGCTATGATACTTCTACTCTGGTGCCAGGATGTTCTCTTTAGGGTAATGTAAGTCTTGAAATGAATCCCTCCAAAGTGGAATTAAGGGGAAAAAGCAGATTTCTCAGAGAAGGAAAATTCATCTCTTAGCCATTCAACAATGAACTCTGGGAAAGAGCTGGTCATCCTGAAGATCAGCTTGAGTGAGAAGTTTAGAGTAAGGTTTGATGTCCAGACGGCTGCTAAGAGGACCCAACAAAAATCAAGTCAAAAACTGAGTTTTTCTGGCCAGGAACATTTGGCCCTTTTTCTTCCCCCAGATAAGTCATGGATCTCAACATCCCCAGTTTTCTGATCACCACCGGTTCCCCTCCTTCCTCTTCACAGTCCCCAGCAGAGCCCACCAACCTCAGGCCTTAGCCAAGATACTTGTCTACTTCAACTGGACCTGGGTGGGCCTGGTGGGCTCAGATAGTGGTGCCTCTGAGTGGCTAGACCGGGAATTCCAGAAGGAGGTTGGAAAGAATGGCGGCTGTGTGAGCTTCTCAAAGAGGATCGATGGCCATGTCAACAGTGTGGGAGATGTGGCTAATGCCATCCAGACTTCCACTGCCAAGGTGATTGTCTGATTGTTACCACATTCACTTTATCGTCTTAGCCAAAACCCTTCAGGAGGAGAATGTTACCAACAGGATATGGTTTTTGTCCACTTCCTTCCTTTTGAATCCCTCAATTCTGAGCAGGGAAGCCAGGGAGATGCTAAATGGAAGCCTGTCTCTGGGGATACACTCAGGGCCAGTGCCTGGCCTTGAGTACTTCCTGACCCTGCACCCAGCCATGTACCCAGACAACCACCTGATAAAGTTATTCTGACAAGAGCTATTGGGCTGCACCCGGCCTGGGCCAAAGCTTGTTGGCCCTCAAGTAGGACGCGTTGCCCAAAACTGCACAGGGCTGGAACAGCTAACACCCTCCCATCTGTCTGTACTGAAAATGGATGATTTGACTGCTACATACCAGGTCTACCTGGCAACCAAAGCCCTCCTAGTGGCCTATAAGAACCTGAGGGCCAACCACCCTGGGGAGGGTCCACCTCATAGTGGTACCTGTGTCAAGGCAGGAGATGCCACACCATGGCAGGTGAGAAAGATGGTAGGAATCTCTTTCTAAATGTCCAACTCTGCCTTGGATAGGTTGACTCTCCACAAGGAGGAGCATAAGGGAGGCCACAAGCAAGAAGAAACTGGCAAAGGGGGTTAAGAGGGCTTGGGATTCCATGGGGAAGGACAAAGAGCAAGTGGAAGAGATGTAGGCATGAAAAGATTCTCTGTTGCAGAGGCAATGTAGTGTAATGGAAAGAGAGCCAGCCTCAGAGCTTTATCATTGTGTCTATACCCCCCGCTTGTAGTATAGGGAGTGGCACACAACAGAAACCTAATCATAGCTATTGAATGGGTGATTGAAAGAATGATGCCAGAACCAAAATTCTTGACATTCCAAAAGATGGTTCTTTTTTGTGCATTTAGCACAGTGCCTGGCATGCAGTATAGGCTTAATAAATACTTATTTCCTTCCTTCCTTTCTTCTTTCCTTCCTTTTCTTTTCTTTTCTTCCTTCCTTCTTTCTTTCTTCCTTCTCTCTTCCTTCCTTCCTTTTTGCTTTTCTTTTCTTCCTTCCCATAATCCTCGGTATACTTGAAAATTGGGAGACGGGTTGGAGCTGGGGATTGGAGAGCCACTCCTTCTCAGGGTATGTGCAGATATAGCCTTTCGACCAGAATTTCTGAGTGTCTAGGGTAGAGGGGATCCATTAGGTCTAGAGAAAGCCTCTGGGAATGCAGAATAGAAAGAAGCAGCTTTAAGACAGGAGCAGCCTTAATATTCTGGGCCCTCTTTTGGCTGCCCCCTCCCACATCCTCCTCCATGTGCTCTTTCCTCAGGTCCTACATTATTTAAAAAATGTCCACTTCACTTCCCAAGCCCAGGAAGAGATCTTCTTTACTCAGGATGGAGAGATCCCAGCAGCATTTGACATGACAAGCATATCTATTGCTCCGGATCACACCTGGCAAACGCCAAAGTGGGACACTCGGACTTCAAGGAGCCTCTGGGAAAAGAGCTAGAGACGAATAGCAGTGCTATCATCTGGGCAGAGGGCTCTGGAAAGGTGAGAACTGGAAAAGTCCACTGCCCAGATCAAAAATAACGTCAGCTTGCCAGAAGAAAAAGTAAGTATAGGACCAGTTGCCCCAATCCAAATCCACCTGTGCTTTATTGCAATTTCCCCCAGTTAGTGAGAAAGCAAAAAAGTAGAGACTGGGGACCAGCTCTCTATAGAAAGCCCAACTCCTAATAATGACTGGTAAGGATTCCTATTGCTTCTCCAAACCTCACCCAGCTCTCTTCCCTCTGTCTGCCTAACGAGCAGGTCCTTCTCTCAATCTGCAGTGAGAAATGTCCTCTTGGAACCCGAAAGTCAAATGCCCAGGGAAATCCAAGCTGTTGCTGTGAGTGTCTTCCCTGTCCCAGGGGAGCAATTACCAACATACTAGGTAAGAAAAACAGAACGATGTTGTCTGCTGGGTCACCATGTTGACCCAAAGCAGACACTAGTACTGGATTCAGAGTAAAGCAGATGGGGAAGGAAGTGGTGTGGAAATGAGAATGAATAAATGAATGGATGAATGAATGAATGTTTATTAAGTGCTAAGTATGTTATTAAGGAGGATTTTATTGAGGGGTGAGAGAGGCATTGAGAAGGAACAGAAATGCTACAAGAAAACATATATGCATATATATGCATATATATATATATATAATTAAAATTAGAAGGTGAGAAAGTACACTTGGCAGAGAGGGTCTAAATTCTCATTCTAAAAGCTACTAGCTGGGTGACCTAGAGGACCTAGAAGGAATCTCATCATCCCTGAGTGCTAGTTTCCTCACCTATAAAATGGAGAGAATAACACTTTTCTTACCTACCTTGCAGGGCTATTCTGAAGAAATTCCCTCGTCAACCTTAAAGAATTGCTACTGTTGCTACAGGGTGCGGAGCAAGGGAGGCACGTTGCCTCACCATAGACTGCACTGACCACAAGACTACGTTAGGCTTCAGGTGACACATTTTAGGAAAGACATTGCCAAGCTTGAGCATGCCCAGAGGAGGGTCACGAGGGTCATGAAGAGTGGAAGAATATGGGGAAGAACATGATCCCATATGGGGGTCAGCTGAACAGAGTAGGGCTGTTTAGCCAGAAAGACAGAAGATATAGGACGGTCCCCTATAGCTCCCTTCAAGTATTAAAAAAGCTGTCAGGAAAAAGAGGGATTAGCCCTGTTCTGCTTGGTCCCAAAGGGCAGAACTAGGAACAATGTGTGAAAATTGTTGAAATACAAGATTTCAAAAAGAAAGATTAGTGAGGTGCCAAAATGGAATGGGCTACCTCAGGAAATATGGACTCCCCCTTCTCTGAAAGACTTCAAGCAGGGCATAAAATGAGCACTTATCAAGGGTAGCGTAAAGGGGATCCCAGACCCGGCACAGATTGGACCATATTCAGTTGGAGGCTCTGTAATTTTGTAATTCTGCATCACAAATGAGACAGTGAGGGTGGAGAAAAAGAAGAAATATTATACATATGGAGGATCATTTGAGGAAACTTAGGTTATTCCCTCCAGAGAAGAATGAATAAATTAATGAATAAGTGAAAAAATAATTTATTAAGTCCTTACTATGTGCAAAGCATTGTGCTAAGCCCTGGAAGTATACATAGGAAAACCAAGTATCCCTGCTCTCAAGGGGATCGCGTGCTAATTGAGGAAGACAATACATAAGAAAGACCAGCTGCAATGCAGATGGAAAGCTGTGGAAGTCTTAGGGGAGAGTGGTAGAGCAAAAGGCAAGAACAAAGGGGCTTAGGGCACATAGGCAGGTCAGGTGGTGGTACCTGTGGGATATGAAAGGCCTAGTGGAAGGCAGATGGTAACTCCCATAAAAAACAATGCTTAGGTATTAAAGGTATAAAATAGGTATTAAAATGCAAAACTGAGCCTAGGATCACCCTAATTTGGAAGTTCTCTTCCATGAGACAGATCCCAACCCGGTAATAAGTGACCAGCCATCCAGCCTTTGCTCAAAATCTCCAGGGAGGGCAAATTCACCCTCTACTTTTGAATACCTGTCATTGTTGGGAAGCCTCTTTTTGTGACATCAAGCCTAAATCTGCCTCTATCTAATTCTGTCCTATTGCTCTTAGTTCTGCTCACTGCATCCCTCCTCCGCTTACTAGTCCTTAAAAACTTTAGAATGTAAAGCTGGATAGGATTATAGAGGTCATATAGCCCAACTCCCTCATTTTACAGAGAAGGAAACAGAGAAGCTCAGAGAAGGGTCAGACAAGTGACAACTACAATTCCATCCCATATCCTCTGAGTCAATGCGACATTGTTTCCCATGTATTACACAGCCACTCATCAAAGGGTATGCAAATTATTATGACAAGGGGAAGCTAGATGGTGCAGTGGATAGAGCACTAGCCCTGGAGTCAGGAGGACCTGAGTTCAAATACAGTCTCAGGCACTTGACACTTACTAGCTACATGACCCTGGACAAGTCACTTAACCCCATTGCCTAGCCAAAAAAAAAAAATTGACAGTCCTGGACATTACAGAATCTTACCATCTGTGGCTTTTTCCTGAATGTGGAGGGAGCAAGGTTGTCCAGAATTTGGCACCTAGAAACCAGGACTCAGTCTAATAATGGGAGAAGGCATCATTCCCACAATGTCTCCTCCAAAAGAGTCTTCAAAAATCATCTCATTGCTAACTGACTGAGGGAAAGTTCTTCCTCAGTGGGAAAATTCTCTCTGCTCCTGCATCCCTCTGTCTGAGTAATCGTTCAACTTCTCTTTTTGTCTCAGACACTGGCAATTTCCAGGCACAAGCTAACAAGGGTCCCCATGGAACCACAGAACAGAGTGAATCTAAAGTCAGCAGTCCTGGGTTCAAAACCCCACCTTGACACTTGCTTCTCATGTGTCTTTGGACAAGCCCTCATCTCCTTGAGCCTCAGTTTCCCAGCTTTAAAAAGAGGAAATTAGACTAGATTACTTCTGAGGTCCCTTCCAACACTAAGTCCACAATCATGTAGAAGGAAATATTATAGGGCTAAATATAAAGTCCTTAACTTGGGTTCAGAAATTCAATTGTACTAGCACAGGAAAGAGAGGACATAATGAGAAAGCAGTTCATACAGAAAATATCTAGTTATAGTGAACTACAAACACAATAAAAGCTAGCTGTGTCATGTGGCATCAAAAATAAAAACGGGAAAATAGTCTGCTCTAATAGCAGCAGTTTAGTGTCAAGAGCGAGGGAAGATTCACCACATAACTAGGGGAAATTCTCCGGGTGTGAAAATTGCCCCCTCCTGCTCCTTTTATTTAATTCATTAGCCAACTTCTCTTGTTTATTTCAGACAGTGCCAGTTGCCTGAAGTGCCCAGAGGACCAATGGCCAAACAATGAGAAGGATCAGTGCATCCCCAAGATTCTTGACTTCCTCTCCTACATGGAGCCCCTGGGCATGGCATTAGCCTTCTGCACAACTTTCTTCTTTCTCCTTTCCCTGACCATCCTTGGCATCTTCATAGGGTATCACCACACTCCCATAGTCAGAGCCAACAACCACAGGCTAAGTTACCTTCTTCTCTGCTCCATGGCATTATGCTTCCTCTGCCCATTTATGTTCATTGGCCACCCAGTATCACTGACCTGTGCCCTGTGCCAGGCAGCCTTTGGGATTATCTTCAGAGTCTGTGTGTCTACCACTCTGGCCAAGACCATCACTGTAGTGTCTGCCTTCAGGGCCACCAGACCAGAAGCCAGACTCAGGAAGTGTGCAGGACCAAGCCTCTCCAATGCCATCCTCATTGGCTTCTCATTGGTCCAGGTTGTTCTGTGTATCTTCTGGGTCATAGGCTGGCCTCCAGTGCCCATGAACTCTACAGAGCCAGGACCCAAAGTTACCATGCTGTGTGGTGCAGGCTCCTCAGAGCTCTTCTATGCTATGCTGAGCTACCTGGGCTTCCTAGCTCTGGTCAGTCTGGTGGTAGCCTTCCTCATCTGTCAACTGCCCGACACCTTCAATGAAGTCAAGCACATCACTCTCAACACTTCTCATGTGTTTGGATCTCCTTCATCCCAGCCCATCTGAGCACTCAGGGCAAGGACGTTGTGGCTGTGGAGATCTTTGCCATTTTAGCATCTGGGGCAGGCCTGATGGTCTGTTTATTCTTCCCTAAGTTCTATATCATCCTCCTCTGGACTGACAAGAACACAAGGGATCAGATGATAGGCAAGAAGCATTTCAAGAAATGAAACCAACACCAGCCGTTCTGCTTTCTCCAACATAGAGAGGCACCGCCACTTTGTATCTCGTCCCCAAGCTATCAAGGAGAAGTCCTGACATTTCAAAAGGAGAAATGTCACCCTTCTGGGTACAGAGTGATAAGCAGGGATACCACTCATCTAATATAGGAGTGTCCCCTGACAAAGGACCACAACCTGCCTTCAGGAAAGGATGGCACAAAAACAACGGAGTATATGTGAGGTCTACTGTTGGCAGCTCTCCTATGCAATGCTGTACAGTCATGGAAGCCTGGATTTACAGTAGGGGGTCATCTAGTCTGAGTGATTCATTTTACAGATGAGGAAACTGAGGTTAAACAACTTACTAAAGTCACACAGGCGATAAATTACAGTCAAGATTTGAACTCAGATTACTTCAAATACTGTGCTTTTTCCACTATATGGCCTAAGCCTAGGTGTCTCAGTAGATAGAGCTCTGGTCCTGAGTCAAGGAAGACTTGAATTCAGATTGTAATTCTTCCCTTATTACCTGCGTGACACAGCAAGTTAGATAAACATATCATCTATGCCACTAACTGAACCATGGATAAAAACATTAAAACTTCAAAGAGGCAAGTAAAGATGACTGAGCAATTACTGGAGACCAGGTTCCAACATGGAACCATTAATGACTACATTTGGAGCACAACCATAAATGTAGTTCCAAATTTACTTGATTGTATCCTTGTCTAAAACATAAAGAAGAAAAATAATTGAGTAAGAGTGGGTGGTAACTTCCTGCTAAAGGTTATCAAGTTGCCTATCTGTAGACCTACCATGAACAAAAGCGAGGTCTGCTGCTTCCTTGGGGAATGGAACCAGATCACAACAGAAAACCCCTCAAATTCAATGACCATTAACCAATCTTGATGACTCATGTGAGAATAAACGATGCTACCAAAAAGACACATTCCTAGGGATGATGATTTCTGAGGCAAAAAGCCAAACACCAGGGTACTGGTGGTGTTTTAACCACTACTATTGAATGAAGATAGGATATGAGGAGAGGTCAGATATGAGATTCAATTAACTACCTCAGCAGATTGCATCTGAGAATGGAACTGATTTTTTTGGAATCAAAATTTAAAATATCAGAAAGTGGCCTCTTGACTAGGGGTGGAATAAACCTGATAAGGGCCAGTAAAAATTTTATCTGCCTAATGTTTTGAAAACCTGAGCATAAGGGCTTAAAACCAAAAACTGAAGGAGAGAGAAACTGTCCATATGTGTCTCCTAAGCCAGATATAAGAAAAAAATTAGCACAGACAATTGAGGTGAATAGCAAAAGAGATGGACAATTCATACTAAATGGTACAATGGGAAGAGCTCTGGCTCCAGAGTAGTAAGCACGGGTTCAAATACCACCTCTGACACCACCTCATGACTATGGAGCTCCATTTCTGTATCTGTCAAGAGGGATGTTTGGACTAGATTCCTCTGAAGTCCCTTCTGGTTCTAAAGCTATGACCGAATAAGAAGAGAGCTATCAATGACCCCCACAGTCTCAGATGTTCATGAACAAATCCATAAAAAGAAAAAACATTGCTTTCTGGATTTTTGGTGTTTTTAAGCCTCTCTAAGTCCCGTGACTGCTGTTAAGATTGACATCGCTGACATAGCCTTCAAGCACCTAGGCTCAGCTCCAACACCATGAGGCACAAGGGACAGAGTCAAAAGGAGATGCTTATGATATGAGTTTATAATGCTATAATGCTTCATGGTTCACAAAGTGTTTTGCAGCTAATATGGAGAAGAGGCAAAAAGAAAAAAAATATTTTAGGGTCTTTCAGTATGTGGTAATGATCTCTCATATTTCTTTAACATTTTTTCACATTTGAACATCACAAGAAAACTAGAAGGCGGATTTTGTTATTGTTTAGTCATTTAAGTCCTGTCCAACTCTTTGTGATCCTATTTGGGGTTTTCTTAGCAAAGATACTGAGGTGGTTTGCCTTTTTAGGGCTACTCATTCACCTTTGGTGTCTACCCAACTCTCACCTGTGGCTCCAAGAAGCTGTAACATGCACAGTGCCCACACCCTGGTAAAAATCCATCTCAACAAACAGGCTGAGAGTAACCGATAGACCTCAAACTTGTCAGTGAAATAGGGGAAAGTCTGCCCCCAAGCATGTGAAGACTTCCCCCAGTGGAATGGGTGAATGAGAACAATTTGTTCTAACAGCCATAAAGGCAGCTGAAACAGGTGCTTGGAATTGTTCAGATAACAAAGATGCCAAGGTCATCCACTGTACACTGGGCTATCATCAGTAATCCTGACTTTTGTCTTACCACTGGGCTTTGATGACTCTGTGAAGGGTTCGTGTATAAAATCTTCCCTATCCACAGCCCAAGCCAAGGGACAAGGAACTTCCCTAACGTATTGTTCTGAGATTTGTTTCAACCCAGACCTACCTTGGGGAACTATTCCTTAAAAAACAGGTCTTGAGGTAAACATCCAGGGACTTGGCCAGTTCCTGGGTATTGACCCAAGACATTTTTGACATAACAAAGATTGTTCTTGAGGTCGGAGAGTTTCGGTCAAAACTTTCAGGTCCTTAGGATCAATCACCTGTTCCTTGGCTCCCTGCCTTCTTTGTGTAAGGATGATAAAAAGGATCTTTCTTGGGAAAGTGACTTTGGGAGTCTCCCCTCAGAGAGGATGCTCTGCCATAGGGACTTTCCCAACTGATACCTTAACGGCTGTGATACAGGATGCCCCCAGTCAGATGTTCAGGAGTGGGTGCTTCCTCGGATTGGTGATGTATTTCTTCTTCTTTATCTCTCTACCTTTCTGTTAATAGTCTTTTGTTTCTAAGATTATATAATCATATGTAATCACATTTATATGCATGTATGTTTATGATTATTATCATTATTAAATCATTTATAAGCTAGGAAAAGTGTGAACGTGTCTTTATGGGTACAGATCCGAACCCGTGAAACAAATTATAAGTGCTGGGCATCCCTCAACACCCTACTGTTACACTCTGGAAGAGGGAGTGAGGCTGACAACTTAAATTCAATTCATGCACAACTTAAGATGTCACCCATCATCCACTATTTTACCCCAATATCTTGATATCACTGGTCCTCTTCAAAAACAAAGAATAAACAAACAACAATTTACATCTATATGTAGAAATGTAAAAGATTATAATTACATGCTAAAAGAAAGCATGTGCCCTTACATACATTATCTTCTCCTTTAGAATGTAAGCTTCCTATGAGTAGCAATTGTTTCATTCATTGCATTTGTATCTCTAGCACCTAGACCTGCGTCTAACATATAGTAGGCACTTAAAAAAATGTTTGCTGATTGATTAACTGGACTAGTCCCAGGTCTCACAAAGAGAGCAGCAATCCTGTCTTGATTAAGATATAAGGACAAGGGAGTGGGGCCAGAGCCAAGATGGCTAAGTAAAAGCAGTGACTTGCTTGAGCTCTCCCCCAAACCCCTCCAAAAACCTGTAAAAATGGCTCTGAAAAATTCTAGAGCAGCAGAACCCACAAAAAGACAAAGTGAAACAAATTTCCAGCACAAGACCACCTGGAAGGTCGGCAAGAAAGGTCTCTTACACCAGACTGGGAGAGAAGCACAGTTCAGAGTGGGCACGAGGCAAAGACCAGGCCTCAGCGAACTGAATCAAGGGTAGCTGTGGCAGTTTCCAGACTTCTCAACCCACAAACACTAAAGACAACTTAGAAGGTCAGCAGAAAAGATTTGTCGACCATGGTGAGAGAGAAGCTTGGTCCATCCCCAGTCCCAGTGCAGTCCCAGGGTGGCAGCTTCTTCTGGAGCTCTCAGTCCACAGATGGAGTGGGGATCAAGTGGATGGTCATAGGGGGATTGCAGGGATCTCTTTGCTGGCACTGAGGCAGGATTTTCTTGCTTTGCCCTTGCTTGGATCTGGGTTGCAGTTCTGGTGGTGGTCCTGAGGTGAGGAGAAGCATTGGCATGGTGGAGCTTGTAGTGGCAGTGGAGATGGAATCCCCCTCACAGTTCCAAGGCAGAAAAGAGTGCTTGTGGTCGATCATAGACAAGAGCACAGGCTAGGAAAGGAGTAAACACCTCACCTTTAATCATAACACCTTTTAAGAACTGAAAATTTACAGGTCCCTATAAGTATCACTGAAAAGAGCTGCACAAAACCCCCAAAGCTTGGGACAGTACATTCTCCACACTAGAAGCAGACTCCTACCTTAACAAAGAGCTAAAAAGTCAAATAATTGACTGGGGAGATGAGCAAACAGTGCAAAAAAAGTGAGACATAGAATCTTACTTTGGTGACAAAGAAGATCAAAACATACAACCAAAAGCAGATAACAAAGTAAAAGCTCCTACAACCAAAGCCTCCAAGAAAAATCTGAATCAGTCTCAGGTCATGGAAGAGCTCAAAAAGGAGTTTGAGAAGCAAATAAGAGAAGTAGAGGAAAAACTGGGAAGAGAAATGAGAGTGATGCAAGAAAATCATGAAAAACAAGTCAACAGCTTGCTAAAGGAGAACCAAAAAACACTGAAGAAAACAACACCTTAAAAAATGGACTAACCCAAATGGCAAAAGAGGTCCAAAAAGCCAATGAGGAGAAGAATGCCTTATAAAGCAGAATTGGCCAAATGGAAAAGGAAGTCCAAAAGCTCACTGAAGAAAACACTCCCTTAAAAATTAGAATGGAGCAAATGGAAGCTAGCAACTTTATGAGAAATCAAGAAATTGTAGAACAAAACCAAAAGAAAACTAAAAGACAATGTGAAATATCTCATTGGAAAAACAACTGACCTGGAAAATAGATCCGGGAGAGATAATTTAAAAATTATTGGACTACCTGAAAGCCATTATCAAAAAAAGATCCTAGAAATCATCTTCCAAGAAATTATGAAGGAGGAGCAGCTAGGTGGTGCAGTGGATAGAGCACCAGCCCTGAAGTCAGGAGTACCCGAGTTCAAATCTGGCCTCAGACCAAACACTTGA